ATATATATATAAAAGATTAAATCATAAATGTTTGTGTGATAATATGGTTATGTGTATTTTTTTACTTTGATTTACTCTAGTTTCGAATATAATAATTTACATCTATTTTTTCAATTAATTTTAACTAACAAATTTCGAGTCGAACACGAGCAATAATATTTAAATCTAGATTTGACTATTGGTGTCAGTCCACTTTCATGCTAAAAATCCTAATTTGTTAGTCGTTTTGACCCCAACACACCTTCTATGTAGCTAAAATTGTAGGATTTCTTGGGCTTGGAGAATATTTGCTTTGGGGGTGGGAAAAGAGGGTGATTATACCTCTTTTAGGCCTCTTTTGAAAGCTTCTAATAAGGCTTAGCAAGGCCATTTTTGGCAAAAGAGAAGGGGAGGGCTTGTTTAACTTCTCATCTCTCCCATTTCAAATTTTCTCATCTATTTTAGTTTTGGGCTAAAACCTAGAGAGCTTGGGAGAGTACAAGGGAGAACTCTATCTTCTTCCTCAAGGAGCTTATGGTTTTTTTGGAGCTTAGAGCTTGAAGCGAGAAAAAAGGAGGGAGACTCTTCGTCTTCCTTAAAGGGAAGCTTGAGGGACCTGGTTATCTCCCAACTCCTCCTTCTTCTTCCATCTTCTTCCATCACTTCATTCAAGTGTGTGATGGTAGTTTTGTGGGGAAGAGCATGGCTAGCGGGGAAGCAAGGTGTCTCCTCTACTACACTAAAGGAGAGCTTCATCATAACTTGGGAAATGATCGCTAGAGCAAAGCCATGACTTATTTGGAATCTCGTCGAACTCTCCTTCTAAATGAGAACTTCTTCGTCCTTTGGAGGAGTGGAGTGGAGCTTGTCGGAGCTTCGCCATAACGTCATCGTCTCTCCTACCACTAAGACAGTTTCATCCTTCATGAAAAAAAGAGATATCAAACGTCACATTGGTAAAATTCTATAAGAAAAACCCTGTGTTTTCATTCTTAGTCTGCTTTAGAAGTAGTTTTACTATGTATTGTGGGTTTAGTTGCCCGCACTAGGTGGGTTGGCCAGCCGGTGTTAGTCGAAACGACTATACGCTTATTAATTTGTCGTTGATTTCCTAAAGGAATCCCTGGGTTAGAAAGTTTTGCTAGACATGTTCATAGCGAATCCGAGAAATTCCCTTGTGAATTGTTAGTCTACAATCCAAATATTGTGACTTCTTTTTGAGTTATTTTTTCATCTTTGTATTTTGTCACAACTTTTAGCCTAGAAATTCCACTGTGGTCGAGATATTTGGATTTTGTGAATCGAAATCCCAATTGCCCTTGCTTTGAAATTTTCCAATCCTTCTTGAAGGGGCCAAGATATTTGGATTTTGTGAGGTGAGAAAATCTTTGACTTATAAGCTCGTCATATTCAAACCTCGATTCGTCTGTCAGCTTGTCAAATTCAACACCCGTTTGACCTGTCAAATATGCTCGAAAAACTTTCAAAGGTGGTTTAATGTCTTGATCAAAGATTGATTTGACTTGGATTAGTCAAATTTTGTATAATTGGGTTCACACGTCAAACCACACTATTTGACTTAAGTTTGCTGAAATCAGAGTTCTCGTTGACTCAAATCAATGTTTGATGCCTCAAAATCTATGACATGCCTCAAGATTTTTGTTAGATGCTGAAAAAATTTTAATGGTGTATCAATATTAAAGGAATCTTATAAATGCTATTTTATTTCACTATATATATATATATTTCACTTAGG